GGGGGGGGGGGGAGGTAGAGAGACAAAGGTCGGAAAGCTCGTCCCAAAAAATGAGCTGCCCGTTACTAAGGGTAGCCGTGTGTTTGTGTGCGTGTGCGTTTCCGTTTCTGCTTGCCTTCAATTCCCCACATTTTCGAGGCGAGAAGGGCTGAATTCCTTCCCGCCTGGTCGTGTGCACTCATCGCATGACTGCTTGTAGACTATCCGCTTCCCACCAACTACATTGCGAGTTTTTCACTCAGAAGAGCTTCAAGCCTGCAGTCCATAAGGGACGGAAGGGATACAAGGGTACAGCTGAACCCACGTAGCTTTCATTCGTATTGTATCGTAGCCATTGCTGCTGCTGTTCCTATCAAGTACTCGTTTGAACAGTAGCTTACATGACATAAGATACCACTCCCCCTGAACCGCTTTTCAAAGCTCGATTACTACTCCACCGACGAAGAGGACACCGAAATCAAATGACAAGTTTTCGGAATGCCCTCGAACGAGATTCTTCCAACGCCGCCCTTCTCGGTGCCGCCCCCGCTTTGCCTGCCGAGTAACCAATCGAGCTTTGCAATTCGGTCCAGGGGGTGTGATATCTTGCGTAACCTACGGTAGACGTGATACAGTCGTTCCGTATTTCCCCCGCATTTCTGTGAGCTCATCCCTACTATGCACATAATACTGCTGTACGGACTCTTGTTGCGCTGGTGGCTGGTGCGTAAATACGTAAATACAACGCCGTCTCGCAAGCTAACGAACTCTACGGAGAGTGCTCGGCACCGCTGCCTTTGTCACAGGGGGTTTCTGAGCCGCAACAGAGACAGCAGTAGCAGCAGCAGCAGCAGCAGCAGCAGCAGCAGCAGCAGCAGCAGCAGCAGCAGCAGCAGCAGCAGCCTCTGGCATTCTCCTTGGGGCTTTGCTCACATTTGACCCATCAGGTCCTGCTGCGCCAGAGCCAAACAAGTTTGACGTAGAGCCAGTTCCGAAGGGGTTAGATGACGATGGCGCGAACGGGTTTGACGAGGGCGGTGCGAAAGGATTCAGATCGGAGGAGACCCCTCCTCCTACTCCTCCTCCACCTCCTCCTTCTCCTCCGAACGGGCTCATCTTGCTCGCTGAAGAACCAGCTCCTGCTGCTGCTACTGCTGTTGCGGATGATCGTGTCGCCGACGAAGCCGCCGCTTGTCCTTGCCCCCAGGCGGAGGAGTCTAGGGCACGCCCTCCTCCTTGTACCCTTGTTTGCGGCGGGTTGCTCCCAACATCTCGGGACGTTGGCGATACCGGCGGCTGTGTTCGTTGTCGCTGCTGTGCATGCTGCTGCTGCTGCTGCTGCTGCTGCCTTGTTGCTGTGCCAGCGTAGCCGGACGGATGTTGCTGTTGCTGTTGAGTCCGCTTTTCTGTAGCGTCCCAGTCCTCGAACAGATTCATGGGGTACTAGCAACAGAAGGGATTCGCTTCGTTGGCACTTAGGGCAGCAGCCGTGGCGGTCGAAGAAGCAGCAGTGTCTACTGCACACGACGCAGTGCTCTCCACTCTCACTGCTGTGTTCTTTCTACTCCTAGGGAGCTACAGGGGGAGCCGCGACTGGGATACATGGAACGTACAGGTACCTTATTTACCTTCACCTATAGTTCGCGCGTTCCCCAAGTCTACTGCTCTCAGCTGGCTCAGGGCTTTCTCCATCTCTCTCTCTGCTCTGTGCTGAGAAAGCACTCTTTTGCTGTCTGCTGTCTCGCGAGGCCATGTTGCAGCATCGAAGGTTACGATGCTGGCTGGTGGCGTTTAGTGGTAACTTGGCTTGCTGGGTGGCGTTGGCAGCGGACCCTTCGCTTCAGCAAGCGGAGCATCCCTTCAGGAATCTCGCAGCCTGGCTGCGGGAGGTGAGATCATACGTTAGCATGCTTGACTCTTTGATACCACATGCATGCAGAGATTCCTTCAACGACAAAGATAGGTTTTGCGGAAGACTGCTCTCGTCCAGACATACTGCTGTCTGGGCACTGCAATCATGCAAATGAAGAGTGAGCCGCAGTCTTGAGGGGCAATCCCTCCCTTTGGTGGAAAGCTGATCAGACATCATGAGTAAAGTAGACGATAGACTAGTCTAAAGGGAGAGCGGATTTGAACATTAAAAAGCCAAACGGGCTTGTTCCACGTGCCGATAGGGCTGTACGTTTCTCTCTCACCTTAGCCTGCACACCCTTAAGCATGTAGGCACGTTCGGTAAACGCCTGGCGTTGATCTAGCTCATTTTCGTCCACGAGCGCAAGCCAGTAGTATCGAGCGTTTCTACTGATTTTGCTCAGAATTATGGTGCTGTCACGTAGCACGTCGATAAATATACTACGGGGTACCCATAAGCCACATTACAGCCTAGACTGAGGAGATGTCTCACGTCCTTCGCATCATGCCTCTTCTCAGGCATCCCCCGACATGAGGTCGGCAGAACCCAAGGCTATTTCTAGAGGCATCACCGTTCTGAGCAACTCCCAGAGCTACGTCAAGTCGTTCGACGGCATGGCGTACGAGCTCAAGGGTAAGATCAAGGAGACCGGGAGCACAGCAGACATCGAAAAGGCAAGCAAGGAGACCGTAAAAGGTTGCATACCAAAGGTTACGATACCAGCACCCCCTGAACCGATTTTCAAAGTTCGATAACTCCGCGACGCGGAGGATGCCCAACATCAATTTGGTCGTTATTGGAAAGCTCTCGGCGTGAAGGTCCGAGCATCACCATTTTCAGCACAGTCAGCACCTGTGCTGCCGATAATCCGGATTTATAAATAGGTGCAGGGGGTGTGATATCTTACGCACCCAACGGTAACCCGGGTGAGGGGAGTGACACAGGAAATTGAACAAATGGAAAGAGGAACACCAATGGATAGGCGGGGGCGGTCAGTCGCAGATGAACGGAGCGGAGGATGAGCGCTTCACAAACGCTCGGGTAGCGACTGTATCACAGCAGCGCTCATGCCCATCATGATTTGAAGGAAGCACAAGCGGTTGGATTGGTCCTATGCTACAGAGTAGTCAGACAATTTTACCAGCCTACACTACAAAAGGTGACCCTAATTTCGTGTTTTAGGGGTAACTGCGGGGGACGGACCAGCGCGTTGTTTACGCGCTTTGCCGAGAAGTCGCCCTGGCTTGTCGCACCCTACGATGGTCGCCCCAAGAGAGCGTCGCGAAGGGTGCTCTTATCGACCCATTCGCCCGCACACTCGAATCTTGAAAGCACTCTTTGGAGACGCTTCTGTCCTTGTCCACGCTGTGACGTCAGTAGACACCCTTATCCTATTTCATGCCCTCGATTCGCACGTGCACACCAAAAAATAACGCGGTACGTGTGTGTGTGGGCGCACGCCGTAACTGCTGCTGTCAATATGCGCACAGCTAACGGGACAGGCGGAGCTGTACGAGAGCGCGTCGAGCGTGAAGAAGGCGAACAAGCTGGTGCGGCTCCTGATCGAAGTGGAACGCGCCCTGAACTCCGCCGAGGCGGCCGAGATCGCGTCGCAGTCGGACCCTAGTCGCGCGGCGCAGTACATGAAGGATGCGGGTCTACGGTTTCTGCCCGAACCGCCGCCGCCGCCGCCGCCGTCGGAGGACGATAGCAACGCCAACTCTACCGTTGCCGCCGGCACTCAGGGGGACAAGAACGGTGGTGGGGCAAACGGGTCAACGAGAGTCTTTCCTGCGCGCCGCCCGCGAGAGAAATCGAGCCCAGGACTAAGCGAGACGGCGGCAAGGAGACGACGAGCCGCCGCCACCGCCGCTGCCGCTGGTGGCGGTACTGCGACAGGTTCCTCCTCTTCCTCCGCAGCAGCAGAAGGTCCAGGCGTTAGCGGTGGCGGCGACGACAGCGGCCAGAGGAAAACGAATAAGAAGAAGAAGAATAAGAAGAAGGTACGGGCAAGAAGCAAAGGAGAGGTCGGCGGCGCCGCCGCGGCGGGCGCGGCGGCAGCAGCCGGAGGAGAACCGCTGGAGGCATTCGTGGTCGCCGTTGCCGGGTGCGAGGTGCGGTGTTTCCTGATGCTGGACGAGCGGGGCGGGGAGGAAGGGGAGGGGCGGCTGGTGGTGGCGGTCGGCGACTCGCTCACGGGAGAAGCCCTGCTCGAGAGCCTGTTCGAGGAGCCCGCGGTGGTGCAGCTTGCGTCCCACGGGCTCATGCGCGAGACGGCTTACGTGAACAGGGTGGCGTTTCAGGTACACTTTTTTTGGTGCTCCTCCGCCACGTGTATTGGTCTATGCTTTGTTTGGGTTGCGAGACGAGCGAGCGCGGGGAGGGAGGGGGGGGGGGNGGGGGGGGGGGGGGGGGGGGGGGGGGGGGGGGGGGGGGGGTCGAAGTCGCGGGGAGCGAACGTGTTCTGTAAGAGCTTTGTAGATGTCGGGGCACGCGACCGGTCATATCCGCAAGGGGAGTGTCATGTGGCCACTTTTTTCACCGCAGGCGGGCGACTCTTGTGTGGAACTTGAAGAACAGGGACTCGGACCCCCCAGTCTCACCGAAACCTGCCCCTTCTTCCCTCTCGTGACAGAGGTTATAATACCACGTCAACAACCTCTGCGACTTGATTTATACCCACCACTATTTCCGCCTGTCCCCATCCCAAGAGGGACACGTGTTAAATGGTAGAAGGACTCGCGCAAGCTGCGATGAATCAACCCCCCTCCCCCGCGGGTGTCCCCCCCCCCTCGGTGTTTGCCATCGGGGTTGGGTTTTCGTCGCTTGGCAACGACGTTGTAAAACAAGCCGCCCNTGGCGGTAACCATAGTGGTGGGCGAGTAGATCATGTTGTGCGGGGTCGAGAACCCTCACTCCGCGCAAGGGGGATGATCGCACCACATTGTGTTAAAATGGTCAAGCACCCTCGAGGCAGTTACACAGTGCTTACAACTGTCAGGAAGTGAAAGTACCAGAAAATAACTTAAGTCATACGCAGCTGTCATCCGTACGCAAGGAAGT